CTAAGGGAGGAGGATCTGGAGTTTGAGCCCAGACTAGGCAACAGAGCAAGACCCCCATCTCAAAAAGAAACAAAAACAAGAAAAGAAAAAAAAAAAATGAAACCAAGACAATTTTTCCTTGTAGCAAGAAGATATTGCTGCAGAATAATGAGAGCAAATTACAGTTAAAAAACTGTCGCTGGGCATGGTGGCACACACCATGCAGTTCAGGAGGCTGAGGCAGGGGAATTGCAAGTTCCAAACCAGCCTCAACAACTCAGCAAGGCCCTAGGCAACTCAGTGAGACCATGTCTCTAAATAAAATACAAGAAAGGGCTGGAGATATGTGGCTCAGTGGATAAGCGCCCCCTGGATTCAATTCCCAGTACCAAAAAAAAAAAAAAATTATACTAAATATGAACAAAGTATGAAAGAGAAAACAGAAATAGTAACAGTTATTATGTTTTACTTTTAAAAATTTCCTTTAAAAATACCTTCAGGGCTGGAGTTGTGGCTCAGTGGCTCAGCGGTAGAGCACTCGCTTAGCACATGCAAGGCCCTGAGTTCCATCCTCAGCACCACATAAAAATAAATAAATAAAATAAAGGTATTGTGTCCAACTACAACTAGAAAATAGATATTTTTAAAAATAAGTAAAAAATAAAAATAAAAAATACCTTCAAATATGATAACATTTAGGGGGGTGGGGTTTAAGGATTGAACCAGGGGCACTTTACGACCACATCCCCAGTCTTCTTTTTTTCTATTTTTGAGACAAGGCCTTGCTAAATTGCTAAACGTCTCACTAAGTTGCTGAGGCTGGCCTTGAACTTGCAATCCTCCTGCCTCAGCCTCCCAAGTGGTTAGAATTATAGGCATGCATAAACCATCCCCAGCCCATGACTTTTAAAAATACCTCTATTGGAATATATGAATACTCAAAACTCTTCTTTCTTTCTTTCTCTCTCTCCCTCTTTTTCTTTCTTTCTTTGGTACTGGAGATTGCACTCAGGGACACTCAACCTCATCCCCAGCCTATTTTGTATTTTACTCAAAGACAGGGTCCCACTGAGTTGCTTAGCACCTCGCTTTTACTGAGGCTGGCTTTGAATTTTCGATCCTCTTGCCTCAGCCTCCTGAGCTGCTGGGATTACAGGCTTCTGCTACTGCGCCCAAACTATTCTTTGCTAGAGAATAAATGTTCCTTTGACTAGCAAAGAAAACTGTTTTCTTTTGAACTATGAAAAAAATCCTACTTGTAAAGACCTTTTACAAAGACAAGAAGAAAGGTATCTGTGGAACTTCAGTGTGTTTTCTGCTACAAAAACTGAATGGTTCAAAGAGTAAAAATCTTTTGCAATGGTTGATCATGTCTCAGGAATAAGCTGGATATTCAATGTTTGGGGGAAGCTTTTAGTCTAAATTAACAATCAGTAAAGTATTTTCTTTGTTTACTGTATCCCTGCTGTTTTTGCTATCCTCCTGCCTCTGCCTACCAATCTGCTGGAATTATAGGCATGAGCCACTGCATCTGGCTCCTGTTCTGATTTTAAAACTCCAGATTTTGTTTAAAAAAGAAAAAAGCTCTACTTTTCTATAATCTTGCCAAAACAGGTGTCAACAGGGGGTGAAATTATTTTTATGTATAAATTTTAAAAATAGCTAAAATAAATTGACCACTAATTGATTTTAATTTTAATTTTTTTAATCAAAATAATATTGTTTTAACAACTTAACAACCAATAAGTATTTACAACTCATAATAGAAAATAATCAAAGATACGATGTCAGAGCTGGATATATAACCCATTCACCTAGCATGTAAGAGGCTCTGGGTTCAATCCTTCACACCACAAAAAAATCTAAAGAATAAAAATACTTCAATTTAACAAGAAATGTAGTCTTTATTCCCACCTCAAATTTTAGGTCAAAATCTCAAATATTTTCTACTAATTTACCTTAGAATAACATTAAAATAAAGAAACATCAGTTTTTTTGATTACTTATTATTAAAATTCAGAACTGTAAATACAAATTAAACTGTAAAAAACAAGCATGTTCAACACTCAGAAGAATGGTTCATCTGGTCTCAGCATCCATTTTATAAGAGAAAAAACATGATTTTTTTAAAAATATTTTTTTAGTTGCAGATGGACACAATATCTTTATTTACTTATTTTTACGTAGTGCTTAGGATAGAACCCAGTGCCTCACGTGTGTGACACAGGCACTCTACCACTGAGCTACAGCCCCAGTCCAGAAAAATACGACTTTAATGGACCATCTACTAATGAATCCTCTTTCATATTTTTGCAGACATTCTGTTATAGCCTCTGATTAAAACTACTTAAACGCTCCAAAATGTTTTTACTATTCCAAAAAGTATATTCTATGTTTTAACTTCTAATTTATACCTTCCCAAAATGAAATTTATAAACAAATAATCTGCATGAACAAAAGTACAACGTCATATGACTTTAACACCAATGAATGGGCAGCTCAAATCATGTTCACTATTGGGGTTGGGGCTGTAGTTCAGTGGCAGAGCGCTTGCCTAGTACGTGTGGGGCACTGGGTTCGATCCTCCGCACCACATAAAAATAAACAAATAAAAGCATTTTGTCTGTTTACAATTAGAAAAAAAACAAACATGTTCACTATCATTTCTCTTATTTTGTCAGTTTCTCACTACAAAAATACCTTTAAAGATAAATATTTGTATTCTCCCAAGTTTATGACATTTTTTAAATGAATCAACCAAACTATCAGTTAATATTAGTATTCCCAATTCCCATTTGTTCAACAAATATGTATTTGCATAATCATAATCATTGTTAGTTACCACAGTAACCATAATCCTCACCTACCACTTTTAATTTCTCAGAAGAGGGTAAAAACAAAGCTACAGAAATTTCTGAAATGTTTTAAAACTCCTAGAAGTTTCTATCCAAACTGAAGTTAACAAATGGTTGAAAAAAGATTTCACTACAGCAACCCTAGAGAAAGATGAAGGAATGAACTTACGTTTCAAAACAACGATCCACGTTGTCTGACATCAAAAGCAGCATGCATAGCTGTTCAAGGGCTATTAGTTGCATGTCCCTTTCATCTCCTTGTCCCATCTGTAGCCATTCCAGCAATGTATCCGGATCCACATCTGCCATGTTTTTTTAAAAGCCTCTTTGCTTAAATTAAAAAAAAAAAAAAAAAGTGGGGGGTTCACTTAAAGTCCAGGACTCATCAGATTAGTTTTTTTTTTCTTTTATATCTAACTAAATCAAATTTTCCTGGTGTTCACCAAGGAATTAAAAACCCCTACATAAGTTTAGATATAGTGCTCACTGCAATTTTCAACTTTCCCTTATTCCTCGGGTTTACATATTCAGATATACTAAACAAAAACCAGTTTTGCACAAAAGTATAAGCTGATTAGGTAGCTGCTTAACTAGAAACCAGAGCTGACCCTGTCAAAGACAATCAAACATCACTTATGTATGTTCCAAAAGGCAGAGAATACCTCCAAAAGTTTTTGTTTGTTTGTTTTTTTCCCCAGCAAACTTCTTTCCCCATTTTCCACCCAAATCTAAGCTTCAGGTAAGGATCAGGTGCAGTACTTTTAAAGGAGTTTCTAAGCATTTTGATCCAATGCCCTCTCAAAACGGAGTTACTCCTTTAAAATTACCTCCAATTTCACAAATTCTGCTAATTTCTCATTTTAATTATTCCTGTTTTAAATCAACCTATGAATAAAAAACTGGTTAGGAATTTTCGACTTGGCAACTGTTCCTGAAAAGTTCAAAAAGAAATGTTAAAAGTAAATGCAAGGAATTAACAGGTTACGAATCAGAATATAGGCCAATCTGCGGCCCTCTTTCTCCATCCCCACAAGATAGGGCAATTGGTTTAAAAAAAAAAATCGAGAAACAACCCCAACAGGCAAGCCATGACAAAAGCTCTTCGTAAGCGCCCTGATCAGACGACAGCTTTGGGTCCCACGTAATCTGGCTGCGGCTGGGGGAACCAGGAACCAAGTGGCGAGTCGCGGTGGACACCCAACGGCGGCGACCAGCAGGGCTGACCCAATATCCCTGGCCAGGACGAACCTGACGCCGAGAGGCGTAGGCACTAAACCCCGCTAAGTTAGCTACCTGTGTCTAGGAGGGGAAGTTCTGGAGAAGAAGCAAGCCTGCGTGCTCAGGGGTAGAGCGCCGAGCCCCGCAGGGCAGCGGGTCTCCAGAGAGCGGCGCCCGGAACTCCCGGCGGCTCGACAGGACGTCCCTAGTCCCCGCCGAGTGGCGGACCCTTCTCAAGGGCAAGAGGAGCTCGCCATGGGCTCCGGAGTGGGCCAGGCGGGCCCCGCCGCCCGCATGGTCAGGGGAGGGGAACAAAGGGGCCAAGCCGGAGAGTAGGCAGCAGCCCGGCCGACCTCACCCGGCGCCGGGGTCCCGTTCCTCGCCCGCCGCTGGGCGTCCGGGATTCCGGCCCCAGGCCCGACCAGGACCTCCCGACAGCCGGAAGCGCTCCCGCCTACCCTTCCCGCATACTCTTACCCTAGCTGGTCCTCCCAAACCGCTCCGGTCCAGCTCCAAGCAGGCCGCGGGCAGAGCCAGGCCCGGCCGCGGCCCTCGAGTTCCCAGGAAGCCGCAGGCCGCGCAGGTCGAGCCGGGCAGGCGGCACAGGAAAAGCCGCGTCTCGTCCCTCCCCTTCCTCCGCGGGGACCTGGTGACAGGGAGGGGAGAGGTTTCTCTGAGCGACAGCAGCCAGAGCAGGTCCCGTCTCCGGCACGCGGCTCCTCAGGCCCTGCGATTCAGAGGGAGGCCCGCGCAGTGCTGCCGGCGGCCGTGGCGGGGGAAGGCCGCGTCCATCGCGATCCGGGAGGGGGAAGGGAGGAGGGTCGAGCGAGTGCCGGGCGGGGAAGCTGCTGAGGGCAGGCGAGCCCGGCGGAGGCGGAGCGAATCTGCCCAGCCGGCGGCTACCCCACGAGCGGCCACCTGGGGCGCTGCAGAGGCGCCAATGGGAGCGCCGGACGGCCGGACGCTCTCACCCCGCGGCCTCGGGCTGTCTACTATGGCTCTCCTATGGTCCGCCCTGGCACCCTTCTCGCTTCGCTGTCAATGTGAGCACGCCCCAGCACCCCGCGCACACTCGTGCACGCACGTTCGCCTTGCTTTGCACTGTGTCTAGCACTTCGCGTGCTCCTGCCGTAGGCCCCAGCGTAGTACGGCAGGGCTGTGGCTCAACCCGTCCCCGCCACGGCTTCCGCTCAGGCGACCCGCACCCGGCCAAGAGCATCCCTGGCCCGGGCCACCCCTCCCCGTGCACGGAAGTGCGTCGCGTGAGGAAAAGCGCCTCCCCTGGGTCTTGGGAGGCAAACCGCCCTGCGATTCTCCGGTTCTCCGATTGAAACCCTTTCTCACAACCCTGATAAATAGGTATTTTATTACCGAGTACGTTATTTTCTTCATTTGACAGATGAGGGGACTGAGGCTCCAAGAAAGCGAGAATTCAGGCCCGATGTCGTCCCCAGTAAGCAGCAGCAGTGAGGTGGACTTTCGGCTCCATTTCCTGTGGCTTGTGGTCACAAGGTACTTCCATGGTTATTCCTTTCAAACTTAACTTCACTCTCATTGAAAATAAAATATTCCTACCTCTAGGACTCAATTGGAGAAATTTTAGGATGGAATTAACTGAATATGGATTTTTTAAAATCAAGAAATAAATTCTCTTTATTTGTGAGATAAGCAAAACTAAGCTAGAGCCTTACTATACTCTTACTTTTTAGTCTTTTAAACAAACAACAACAAAAAAAGAATATTTCACGCTAATATTTGAGACACCGTCAGAAGAGCTGCAGTGTATGCTTAAAGAAACAGTATTTTGAAAATTAGATTAGCACTTCAGATACCTGTTTATGTCCAACTGTCACAGGTGATAGTCCCCTAGATCTCCTATTGACAAATAAAATAAAGGGAACATGACAGAAGATTCAACTATCTTGATACAATTACCACACATTAGAACAATTATTTAGAAGCCATGAGTGTGAGTTGGAGCTGCTGTTGTGGGGGTGGGGAGAATCTTCAAAGCAGGAAGTGGCATGCAGTCCTTCTGGACCTTGAAGAATGGTTTCAATGCGGACACTGAAAAGGTGGGAGAAAATACAAGCAATGCCTTTTGCGTTGGTAGTCTGAGGAAGAGGATCCCTGTCCCCGGTAAAAAGTCTGGGCTCTAGTATGAAGAGTCTAGAATGCAGCTGCAGAAATTAGGCTGTGCTAAGCAACAAGTTCTGGACTAGAAAACTGGAAAAATTAGTCTTAAGAGGATTTGTATGGCCAGAGTGTACAGAATGGCTGAAGGGAACTACCTAAACAAAGAGATTAGCTGGAAGGTTGTTGAAATACTCTACAGTGAAGAAAAGGAAGTCCCAGTTATTGAAGAATGGAGAAGTTTACAACTAAAAATTATTTTAAAAGACTACATATTAGGGGCTGGGGATGTGGCTCAAGCGGTAGCGCGCTCGCCTGGTATGCGTGCGGCCCGGGTTCGATCCTCAGCACCACGTACCAACATACCAACAAAGATGTTGTGTCTGCCGAGAACTAAAATAAATAAATAAATTTAAAAAAAAAAAAAAAAAAAAGACTACATATTAGACTTAAAGATTAACTTTTTTTTTTTTTCATGGTACCAGGTACTGAACCTAGGGGCTCTGTACCACTAAACTACATCTCCACCCCTTTTTATTTTTTGAGACAAGATCTCACTAAATTGCTGAAGCTGGCCTCAAATTTTCTCTCCTCCCTGACTCTCAAGTTCCTGGGATTAGAGGCTTCCATTACCTCATTGTCAAATGATTAACTTTAATTTTTTTTAACTCCTTACCTGTAGAGAGGACCTAGAAGCGAGGAAAATGGTGATCTACTAACAGAAAAATTAGGAAGACTAACCTATCCCTTAACTAAGTTTTTTAAATTTGCTATTTTCCTCTATTCCCACCCATTTCCTGCCCCAAAGATTAATAACTATAGTGCATTTTCATAAGCCTTATCAAAAGAATACTGTGACTTTTGATGTGCTTTTTAAAGAATTATATATATATATATATATATATATATATATAAAAAATTTTTTGTGTGTGTGCTATTGGTTGAAGCCAGTGCCTTGCTCATGTGCCTTGCTCCTGTGCTGTATCACTGAGCTACACCCCCAGCCCATGTGACTATTTTAAATTCAAACATGAAAAAAATTCAAACATAAGACCCCAGGACAAGAATATTAAAGAAAAGTCCTTAAGAAGACAAAAGATACAGATGAAATTAACTGACCATACTTGAATACTTTCCCCACAAAAAAAACAGGAAGTGTTTACATGCTAATATTTCACCTTGACGCCAAAGATCTAAGAATCATGAATATTTAGAATTACTCTGTGCCAGGCACAGTGTAAGGCCCAGTAAGTCACAGACCTCATCAGGCTGTAAAAAGTCTACAGGAAGATAGATGTAAACATAATCCTGTCTCCCTTCTCATAGTGCTTATTACATATTATCAGGTACACTGGAAACATCATGAGGTAGGTAATGGTATCTTGAAAGACTTCAAAAATAACATGGCTAGTGAAGTGGCACATGACTATTATCCCAGCAACTCAGGAGGCTGAGGCAGGAGGATTGCAAGTTAAAAACCAGCCTGGGCAGTTTACCAAGAATTTGTCTCAAAAAAAATTTTTTAAAGGGATGGGAATTTAGCTCACCCCTGGGTTCAATCCTTTGTACCACAAAAAATGAAAGAAGATGTATGAACTAGATCTCAAATGTTGAGTCAGAGCTGGCCAGATACTAGGATGACCATGTGGAGAGACCTAGAGGTGTGCTAAAGACTCCTTCTAGGGGAAGGGAAGCAACAAGCTGCTTTTTGGCTTCAGCGCCACCCTTATGAAAGATCTTTAGTATGTATAGTCACTGTGATCCATCACAAGACCAAAAAGGAAGATTTAAACTCACTGGGCTGGAGTTGTGATTCAGTGGTAGAGCATTTGCCTGGCATGTGTGAAGCTCTGGGTTCGATCCCCAACACCACATATAAATAAATAAAATAAAAGATCCATTTACAACTAAAAAATATTTTTTTTAATTTAAACTCACATTTGATTAACTGTCATGTACTATGAATTCATTTTTTAAGTAAATTCTATAATTATCTTCTGTATGATATAATTATGTGGCATTATGTTTTATATGTATTAAAAACATTAATTGGCCAGGTATGGTGGCACACATCTGTAATCCCAGTGGCTGGGGAGGCTGAGGTAAGAGGATCGAAAGTTCAAAGCCAGCCTTAGCAAAAATGAGGTGCTAAATAACTTAGTGAGACCCTGGCTCAGTTGTCAAGTGCTCCTGAGTTCAATCCCTGGTGCCCAAAAATAAATAAATAAAATAAAGACCGTACTCTACACTGGAATTACTATTTTTCAGCAAGAAGGAAGGTAGCACAGATAACAATCCCTGTGTCGACTATTATCTTTATTGTACATTTAAAAAAAAAAGTATGCCTGTTGTACCTTCCTGCATACAGAAAAAAAAAAAAAAATCAATGCAGTACTTTTTTGTGCTGTGCCCAATTTGTTACCCAGCCTCTCCTATAATCTTTCCAGTGTTGGGAAATTATTGCTTCATAAGGCAGTGCATTTTACTTTGATCTATGAGCTCCAGTTATTACACAGTATGATAGTGACATAAGAATCAGCAGACCAATGTTTGAAACCCACTTCTCCATTTTAGAAGCTGGGTAAACTTGGAGAAGTTAATAACTCCTTCAAGCCTCAGATTCCTCATATAAGAAATGGGATAACAACAACTACCTAATATGATGGGAATAATAACTAAAGGAAATTATTATGTGGAAAACTTAGGCCAATCATTCTTGACCTTTGTTTCATATTAAATTCAAGCAAGCTTTTTTAAATTTTTGTTTTATTTATCTATCTATTTATTTTGTAACTCTGGATTGAACCCGGGATGCTTAACCATTAAGCCACACCGCCAGCCCTTTTTACTTTTGTTTTTTTACTTTGAGACAGAATCTCACTAAGTTGCTTAAGGCCTCACTGAGTTGCTGAGGCCAGCTTTGAACTTGTGATCCTCCTCGGTCAGCCTCCCCAGTTGCTGGGATTATAGGTATGTGCCACCGTGTCTGGTATGGCAAGCTTTTTTAAAATAGACTTTATTTTTTAGAGCAGTTTCAAGTTCACGTAAATTGAACAGAAAGTACAGGGATTTTCCATATGCATCCTGCCTTCTCACATGCATAGCCTTTGTTACAACCAACAATGAACCTACATTGATATATCACTCTCACTCAGAGTCCAGGGTATACATTAGGATTCACACTTGGTGTTGTACACGCTACAGAGTAGGATAAAAGTCATGACATGTATCCACCTTTATAGTATATGCAATAGTCTCATTCTCCTGTTTGTCTCTCTTTCTCTGTAATCCACTTAGTCAAAAATTAGTCAAACACTAATTTTCTTTCTCTCTCTCTTTAGTTTTGCCTTTTTCACAGTGTCATACAGTTGGAATCATACAATATAGATCCTTTTCAGATTGGCTCTTTCATCTAGCAGTATACATTTAAGGTTCCTCCATGTCTTTTTATGGCTTGGTAGTTTATTTCTGTTGTTGTTGTTGATATGCCTTTATTTATTTATTTATTCATTTATTTATATGTGGTGCTAAGAATCAAAAGCAGTGCCTCACACATGCTAAGAAAGTGCTCTCCACTGAGCTACCACCCCAGCCCAGTTTATTTCTTTTTTAGTGTTAAATATTCCATAAGTTTAGTGTTAAATATTCCATTGTTTGAACATACCAATTTATTTATCTATTTATTTACTGAAGGACATCTTGGTTGCTTGCAAGTTTTTGTTTTTCTTTCTGTTTTGTTTAGTTTTGGTCCTGGGAGTTGAACCTAGGGCTTTGTGAGTGCTAAGCAAAGGTTCTACCACAGAGTCCTCTCCTTCCACATTTTTTGTTTGTTTGTTTTGCGGTTTTTAAATGGTTGGTTGGTTGGTTGGTTGGTTTTTGTTTTGGTACTGGGGATTGAACCCAGGAACATTCTTCTACTGGGCTACTTTCCCAGCCCCTTTAAAAATATTTGTTTTTAATTCTGAGACAGGATCTCACTAAGTTGTCCAGACAACTTGTGATCCTTCTGCCTCAGTCTCCCAAATTGCTGGGAATAAAGGCAAGCAACACCACACCTGGCCTAAGTTTTAACAATTATGAATAAAGCAGCTATAAACATCTGCGTGCTGATGTTCACATCTGTATGCTGGTGTTTACATCTGTGTGCTGGTGTTTATTCTTTTGGAAAAATGCCAAGGAGGGTGTTTGCTTGATCATTTGGTAAAGTATGTTTAGTTTTGTAAGATACTGCCAAATTGTCTTCCAAAGTGGTTCTCCCGTTTTGCATTCCCACCAGCAAGGAATGAGACATTCCTTTTGCTCCACATCCTTGCCAGCATTTGGTATTGTCAGTGTTTTGGATTTTCACCATTCTAGTAGAGATTTAGTGATATCTCATT